AAGAAAGCATGTGGGGGTCGCACGGTGGGCCCAGTTTACAGAATTATCCCCTCACACTCACGTTCTCACCATCCTCACCTGACCTGGCACACTGACACACATCTGAAGGTCACTGGTTCCTGCGTGGTTGGTAGCAGTGCGTTCAACAGAACTTCACGGGAAGGAAACGTTCTATTTCTGATCAACGTGACAGCCCCCATAACATGGAACCACCAAGCTCCATGGTCAGAGTGACGGAGGACCTGAATTTTAAATTTAATCTAAACTTAAATGGCACCTGACCTGGGCCACCACATAGGACGGTGTGGGTCTGTACATCCTGCATTGAGCTTAAGATGCCAGACACAACCCCGACGTTTCAGCCAGGACTTCTCTACAGCAGGACAAGGCCGGCGTGGCCCAGGAGAGAATGGCCTCCAGAGAACACAGTCAGGCTGCCCAGGCCGCGCCTCTCACCAACACGGCGAGTCCAGCACACGCAGTGGCTGGCCGGCCATCAGTCCATTACACACCAGCCCTGGCGCTCTGCTGCGCCAGCAAGGAGGGCAGGTCCTGAAGGGCTCTGCATTCCTCCGGGCTTACTGTACGTTCTAAGAGAGGCCCTGAAATTTAAGTGCAAATTTTGCTTCTTTTATTTGGTTAAAAAAAAAAACCTTCGCCATAAAAAATTTCTATTCAAAGGCAGAGAGAGAACCGGTAACATGGTCTAGATTTGAACTTCAGTCTCTTGGAGTCTGATGGGTTGACCCCAGCACCTTTGCCCACCTCACACTCCCGCTGTGGTTCAGGTGGGCACCTGAAATTACTAATGTCCCTCCCCCCCCAGGCGAAGCAACCACAGATGTGTCCGTCACACAGCAGGATGTCTCTGGGGCCAGACTCAAAAGCAAACATGAGAATGTTAAACCTGCCAGATTTCCTCTTCCCAGAGGTAGGGAGACCAGCCACAGGAAACAGCCCTTCCCTGTGGTCGGGAAGACTCAAGGCCAGAGAAATGGAGACTGAAACTCCCAGCCTGGGCTGAGGACGACCTGAGGACTGCGGCCACAAACAGCCCCCATCCTCCTGCGGGAGGAAGTGCGGAAGCAGCGCTCCCCGGGGACTCCTTTGAGCCCAGAGGCCGCGGTTTCCTCCCCTGTAAACAGCCAGGCCTCCCACAGCCCAGCCTTCAGCTGTGGCCCCGCAGCCAGGCCCAGGGCTCTGGGGGGGATGTGAGGAGGGCGGAGGGCAGGCCCGGGCTGCAGAGTGCTTAGGTCTGGCTTTCATTTTTCTAGTACATCAGGACCAACGGCCATCATGGCACCGCAGCAACAACTGACACAGGTCCAAGGCTCAGAAACGGCTTCTAAGGAAAGACATGCAGGTGTGAACAACACGGGGCCCTGTCCCTTCCAGGAACTTCCGGCCCAAGGCTGGGAAAGGCAGCCTGCACCGCACGTGGGGTTTTCTCTTGTTATTAGAACACTGGGGTGCGGGGTCAACCTGGCCTTGTGTGTGCTCCTTTTGGTTTTAAAACAAAAAGAAATCTTCATTAGAATATGTTGGGTCCTGACTCAAAGAAACCATTTCTGAGACAAAGGGAATCTACAAACTGAGCAATAGAAGAAACCAAAGATTTGTTTTTTTAAATGTGTTTTTTTAAAAAAAAATTTTTTTTATATTTCTAGATGGACAGAATGCCTATATTTTCTTTATTTGTTTTTATGTGGTGCTAAGGATCGAATCCAGTGCCTCACACATGCGCTCTGCCGCTGAGCCCCAGCCCCAGCCCTTAAATGTGTTTTTTTAAAAATGCTTTTGTTCTTGTAATCCCAAGCCACTGAGGGGGGGTGGGGGTGTTGAGTGAGGCAGGAGAATTTCAAGTTGGAGGCCAGCCTCAGCAATCTAGGGAGACCATCTGTATCAAAAAAAGAGGGTTAGCTCCAGGCAGAGCCGCTTGGGTTTAATCTCTGCACCACCCCAAATGCTTTGTTAAGAATGGCAAGATCTTAGTTGTTAGAAAACGTCCGTGTGGTTGAAGACACACAATAAAGGGTGTAGGGGTGAAATGGCTGCTGAGCACCGGTGTCCTTGGCCAGCATGTCTGTGTCTCTGTGCAGTCTGGAAACCAGAGCTGGCAGGAGGAGTCCCGTTACTGGTGGCCTCCTGTGCCCAGGGAAGCACAGCATCCCTCTCGTTCTACTCCTGGGCCTGTGAGGGTCACCTTGGGATGTTCCTGCCAATACTCTCTCCCACTCAAGAGTGTAAAGCTATGCGGCCGGGGCTCCTCACGGACCCTTGGCAATCTATGGAATTAACAGAGCACCAGAAAACTTGAGTGCTTTAATAGTGACTTGTACTTGGGATCCCTGGCCTAGAAGACCACTTTCTTTTGGGATTGAACCAGGGGCACTTAACCACATCCCAGCCCTTTTCATCTATTAATTTAGACAGGGTCTTGCTAAGTTGCTGGGGCCGGTCTTGAACTTGCCATCCTCCTGCCTCAGCTTCCTGTGTTGCCGAGATTACAGGAGGGCACCACCACGTCTGGTGTAACATGTTATTTGTGACACAGATCTCAATAGATGAAGACCCCCAGCGACCTGCATCTCTACCACGCATGCTACCATCTCCCTCACGTCACCTGCACCCAGCTCCCGAGGACCTCATCAGGCACCCAGCCCCATTGTTTAAATACCGAAGTTAAGGGCTCTACTTTAGACAGAAGGGCCTGCCCCACCCTTCCTAACACTGGCTGAGTGACCGTGGCTGGGCAAGTCATATACTCTAAGCCCGACACTGTCTTTCTGAAAATGGGTATAAGATTAGTGCAACTATTATTAGCTCATAGAGCTGTAACAGAGTAAGAAATGCCAAGTGCCTGGCACATTGTACCAAGCACCAAGTAACTATTTCTAAGGTGTCTGTTACTCCTACTTATGTTTGTGGATCCCACGCCAAAGCAGGTTCTGGGAGGAGCTTTATCTTGACTCGTCTCCTTATGCTCAGCACAGTGCCTGGCTCAGAAGAGCTCTCAGTATAGATTGTTGAATGGATAAATGCATCCACCCATCCGTCTGCCCACCCAGTCAACAAGCATGAACAGCTGAGGGAGCGGCTGTGCAAAGGCCCCGAGGCTCATGTGTTTGAAGAATAAAGAGGCAGGTGTGGCTGCGGTGGAAGAAATGAAAAGGTTTTATATTTTTTTCTGTTTGATTAAAAATCACCACACAATAACATTCAGAAATTAAAAATGATGTATTAAAATATTCACAGAAGTACAAATGAAAAAGATCAAAAATAATAATGTATTGACATTTTTTTTCCCTAGTTGGATACATTTCCATTGAGCAACTAGACGGTTAGGAGTTTTAATTTCCTAGGTGATCCCTTTTAGGTGGCCCTTCACAAGACTCATGAAAAATTTGGCCTCTTTCTGCTCGTTGCAAGTCTGGCCCTGGTCACAAGGGCCAGACAACCAGGAGGAAGTGGTGGACCAGTGGGCGGAGGCTCTGCTCCTGGGTACCAGCCTCTGGTAAGAGGCTTTTCCAAGCGGCTTCCAGGGCAGGCAGGCTGGCCAGGACGCTCGCTGCCCTGGGGGAAGGGTCAGGAGGGATCTTCTGCCACGAGGCAGAGGCAGACAGTGTGAGGTGTCCACTGGGCAGGGAGGCCAGGAGTCGGGGAGGGGAGGAAAGAGAAGTGTGTGGAGCCCACAGGGCACCGGCCTCCCACTCCCACTCTTCTCCTACAGGAAGGAGAGAAGGCAGGCTCACACCTGGGCTCTGGCACTGGGCCTCCCCACCACACCCCGGCCAGCCACCCACGCAGGAGCCTGCTGAGGGCTCCCGGGGTCTTGAAAACAGGCAAAGGTCTCGGGTCGAAGGCCAGAGTGCTGGGTGGAAATGGCAGCCAGCTGAAGGGCAGCTACGGCCAGCAGGTGTCCACCAAGCCCGTCTGTGGCTGGCGAGTGCACGCAGTGTGGCTGCAGCCGGGGGAGCAGCAGAGCTCAGGGGTGGACGGCGGGCTCCGCAGCAGCCCTTTCTCCACTCACCACCTTGGAGCACCTCTAACCCGAGTCGTGCCTTTTCCCTTTAAAATGCTCTTAGGACGCAGCTTCCCACACTTCCCACAGGGGACCGAGGTGGGAGGGGGAGCAGCTCTCAGGACCCCAGGGGAAGGGCCCACGCCCCTGCCCCCACCTTCTAGATGACACTCTTCGCATAGCCAGGGCTCCGGGCAGTTCTAAAGGGGAAAATGTTTCTTTTAAAACAAAGCACTCTGGAAGACGGGAGAATGCAAGCTGCAGGGCGGTCTCGGGAGCTCTGCCAGCCCAGGAAAACCTGAAAACGCAGAAAGGTGGCAGGGCGGCCGTGGAGGAAAATGAGAAGACAGATCCCTCTCCTTCCTACACCACTGTTCACTGTTTCAAGTAACGGGGGGCGAAGGGGGGGACAAACCAACCACAACACCAGAACAGGAAGAGAAGAGAGCGCACGGGGCCACTCTACTCCCGCTGATTCCTAAAAGTCTTGACCCCTTGAACCCCAATCGTCTTGGGGGTGGGAAGCTTTGGGGAGACCAGGCCGACTGCCCGGGGCTGCTTTGCTGGAGGCCTGAGGCTTCTGGAGGAAGGTCATCCTGTGCAGTGCGAGGCCAGAGCCCTCTGACCACCAGGGCCCTCTGACCACCAGGTGATCCAGCCAGCCCAGATCCCTTCCCATATCCCCTGTGGGGACGGAGCCAAGGCCTCTCTGGCTTCCTGTGTTATGGCCACTCTGGCCCAAGGAGGAAGGACCAGGGTCAAGAATGTGATTGATACCTTTCTCCTCCACAGGTGCCACACTCCCGAGCTCAGCCTGGCCTTTCCATCAAATCACCCCTCTGTGTTGATCTAAGGCACCTGGAGGGGAGCGGTACCAGTGGCACCTAGTGGCACACTTATCCTTGCTAACCTGCTGTCATGAACCCACACACTGACAGGACATAAAGGGTGTGACATTTAAGGAAGTCAACATAACACATAAAATTTGCCCCATGTTTTAGAAAAGCACCAACACAAATTTCTCGAACCTTCTGTAAGTGGCATAGTTAACAGATGCTGTCTAAAAGCTACAACCAAATGAACGGTTCTGGCGCGTGTGATAGGGCCCCTGGCTGCGTGTCCGCCACGGGATCTCCTTCCTCCAATGACAATAAATGCTAAGACTGGTTGAGCCCTTGGATTAAAAGGCCACGTCCACTGGAAACAGAAGACTGCTACTGTCTCTGAAAGGCAACCACATCTAAATGGTGGTGACAGGAATGTTACTGAAATGTCCCAACTGTTAATGACCCCCAAAGCATGTACAAAAACGGCAAGACGTTTATACGTAGGCAGATTCACAGCCTCACACCATCTTCTCGACATGCAACGCTGGCCCCACAGCAGGAAGATTAAATAGAATACACATGTCCTTCACCCACATCCTTCCCTCCCTCTGGGTCTACACATGTGTGTGTCCTTGCCTGGGTCCCCAAGGCCACACGTGGTTATGGGCTACATTTTCTGCACAAGAGTCCAGTTTGGGTTTGTTTCTTGTCCAGGATGCTCCGGGTCTTAATTTTTCCGGATGTCCGCATACACCACGGATTCCGACTTGTTGATCTTGTCACTGTGATGGCCGCCGGAGTGGTCTAACTGCGCATATATGACTGGGCCCTGGAAGAGAAGCAGAATTAGAGGTCTTGGGCAACCGCGTGCCTACGGGACAGGTGTCCCAACCATGGACGGGATGTGGCTCTGGTTCTAAAGCACAGACCTCCCTCGTCTGTGTGTCTACAAGAAGATTTCCCCTGCAGGACCTCCTGGACCCCTGTCCACCAAGGCTAGGCACAGGTGGTGACTCTAAAGCCAGCACGGGCGCTTTGTTCCATTTCTCTCGTACGTTTGGAAGCTTATGTGACAACACAACACTCCTCCTCAGGAATATCCCTTGCTTTAGCCCCACAGAACTCTGCAACCTTAGCAACAGTGGTCAGTCTCCAGGACCAGATGGGCACGTCTGTCAACCTGAGACCCGTGGAAACTATGGAAAACACACTGGGTGCCACTCAAAGATACCATCAATTTGAACTGGTCATTTTAGATAAACAGGTACTTTTATTATTTATTTTGTGTGTGTGTGTATGTTACTAGGGATTGAACCCAAGGGTGCTTTACCCCTGAGCTATATCCCCCATTTTTTTCTTTTTATTCTTTCTTTTGAGACAGGTTGCTCGGTTGCTCAGGGCCTTGTTAGATAGACTGCTTGAGGCTGGCCTCAAACTTGGGATCCTCTTGCCTCAGCCTCCCAAGTTGCTGGGATCACAGTGTGCACCACTGTGCCCACTATCTTCAGTGTAACTACTGATGGCACCGTGATCCTCAGGACTCCAGATACTGTTTCTTTTATTTCCTTTTTCAATCTTTTGGTGCTGGGGGTCAAACCCAGGGTATTCTGCAAGAAAAGCAAGTGCTCTACTACTGGTCAACACCCCCAGCCCCTTCTTTGACTTCTAATATCAGAAAACTCTTCTTCCTGGTTTAAAATATGAAAAGAAAAAACCAAAGAATCACAATCCATTGAAAGATAAAGAAAAATCCTTGATGGACTAAAGCACAGGTCTCTTCTTGGCAGTGAAGCAGCCGCTCAGCCCAGCCCAGGGCACACAAGGAGCAGCAGCCGGACAGCGGGTGCCTGCCTGCAGGGGAAGCGAGCCCTGGGCGAAGGCTGAGGTTCCCCTGGCCAGCTGGCCGCACGTCTGACTTCTCCAGCAGCAATAACAACACAGCAGCATCCCAGCCAGGAGCCCTGACAATGTGGAGCTTCGCGTGTGTGCTGCGGTCTTGTGGGGCTGTGGCTCCGACTTCCCCAGGAGGGCCAGGCCCAGGTACGGGCTGCGGGCTTGTAACGTAGCAGGGCCCATGTGACTCACAGGACAGTCCCCCAGCACCGCATGTGGCTCCAGCGCAGGAGAGGCCCCGCGCATCGGTTTCTTCACCTCTAACATGGCCCTAAGAACAGCATCCACACCTGAGTCCACAGGCTGAATGAGGTCCTCAGGCAACCCAGGTCTGTCTGTCAGATAATACACTAGTTATCATCGAGCTGCCGTTACCCGGGCATCTTATTACACGAACACAATTTGAAACAGGCTGAAGCAACTGACGGGGTAACCGGGGGGTCGAAGCCCAGGTGCAGGCATCGGGTGGGGGTGCTCTCACTGAGGCCCCTCGTGGGTGAGATCAACAGACCACACTGTCCACACTGAATCACAGAGACCTCCTACCTGCATCCCAAAGCTGCAGGAAAACCAAAGGCCGATCCACAAAGACGCAGAAAGACGCTCAGAGGACAGCGTTCCCACAGCTGATAACAGAGCCCTGCCCATGACCACCGCGGGGAGGGGTCCGCAGGGTGCAGCAGCATCTCCGCAGTGCAGTCAGCGCCGTCCACTGAGCAGGATCTACCCCTCTACTGCTGGAATTGGGGCCAGTCTCCTGACCTGCTCTGACCCACAGAATAAGGCCCGAGGGACATCACCACTGTCACACCTAGGCCTCCATAGGTCTCGTAGCTTCCACTCCTGCACTGGCCTTGGGACCCGCACCCAACACTCTGCGAACAAGCCCAGGCCAGCCTGCTGGTGACATGGGACACATGGCCCAACTGTCAGACTGTGAGTAAGACCACACTATGGCCGCCCAGCTGGTCATCCCTCCAGCCAATGCAGGTGCACAAGTCAACTGGCTCGCCCCATCAACAGGAGAGCCTGAGCCAAACACACGGCGGCTCTTACACAGGAGGTGACCGAGAAACCCTGTGAGTGGGAAATGCAGAGGAGCCAGGAACAGAGGTGGCGCAGAGTGCACCTGCACCCGCAGTAAGCCTCAGAGGCCGGGAAGTCCCTCCTAGAGAGAAGGCCCCACTCCCACCCAGGACGCTGGGCAGTTTTCCTTCAACTTGCTCAGCTGTCTGAGGTCACTCCCTCTCCCCCTGGGATGTGACAGAGTGACTCAGGTCAGGGACCTGTCAGTTGAGGCCTTGGCAGAGGTGGGTCCAGAGGAAGGCAGGAGCTCGGGACCTGCTGGGGGTCCTCAGAGCTCGGGGAAGTCTGCTCCAGAGGGTGCTGAGAAGCTGAGGGTACGCGGGGTCCCCACGGACCTGGATTTTGAGGGCCAACGAGACTACTCAGGACTGCAGAGGACACCATGAAACAAGGTCAACTTGGAGATGACCCTGCCATTGCGGAGACAGTCACTTGGGTACGCAGAAATCATAAGGAGAAGGACAACGACAAGACCACACCAGCCTACCTATTTTTGCAGTAAATCTCTTCTTTTGGCACTGGGGCTTCCCAGGTAAGCCCCCGCCACCGAGGGGCCACACCCAGGGCCGCCACCGAGGGTCCACACCCAGACACTCCTCCCCCACACTCTCCTTCATGTGCTTTGTTTCGATATTTTCCCTCAAATATTGACTCACAAAGGGCCTTAAGTACTGAAAATGTTTCCAGAAACAAACGGCCCGACGTAGATCGATCCTTTTAGTGATAACTGGAGAGAAATGTACCTCTGAATTCTACTTGTATCAAATTTATTCCCAAGTAAAAACATACTGGAAGGTGGGCCAGGAAGACAGGGTTCTGGAAGAACAAAGAGACCTGTCTGCAAACACACGGGTGCCTGAGCCGGCACCGCGGCTAGCCGGGCAGCGTCTCCCCACCTGGAAGGGGTCACTGTGACTTTGGGCACACGCTCACCGCTGTTGACAAAACACTCTCAGTACTCACTCCAGTGTTTGAAGAGCCAGGTGAAATGGCAGCACCTAAGTACGGTGGCTCTCTGAGGCAAATGGAACCAGTACTGACCATCAACTCAGAACTGAAGCAGGACGGGAGGAGCACCCTTCTCAGGACCTGGCGGACGGGCTGACACCAGCTCCGCCACTGACGACTACCCTCGGCTCAGCACCTCGGCCACAGCTCAGTTTCTACAGGGGCCACAAAGAACGCAGCGTATTCAGCTGCCGGGAGGCGAGGAGGGAATGCACGCAGCGATCTTATGCATCTCGGTGTCTGCGTATTAGAGCCAGCAAACTCTTAAATATCCCAACCACCTTTCTCCAAAATTACGGCCTTTTGCAAAACCATGCCCAGGAAAAGATCTAGGAAACCAATTCTCATCAAGTAGTTACACAAAAATTATTTTAAACTAAGCTTTATGAGAGATTTCTGGCTCATTTCCTCCCTGTGCTGCCCCCACTGCCGCCCCCACGTCCTGACCGCACGCCTTGTGCTGGGGAGGGCTTCTGGCTCTGCTGTTCACCCTCCCTTTGCCTCCTCTGCCCCTCGGGGTGAAGCAGGGTGACATCTAAGCCAGTCAAAATTTCTGTCCCCTTGCAGGTGACTGGAAGACGTAACAGCGTGTGCCTGATTCTTGGACAATGGGATCGAGGACATGTTTGCTGGGGGGCTTCCGTTAATCAGTCTTCTCCACTCGTCACGGTGGTGACCAAGGGCGCACGCCTGGAAATTAGGGTGCTCCTTTTAAAGTTCCCTTTGTGGGGAGCTATTATCCTTTTCTTCTTATGGTGAAATAGCAGGGAGCTACTTACTCATCCACAGAGTGACCGCTGACACTGTTCAGTTCTCAGGTGGCGCCTACACATGGAAACGCAGGAAGATGAGAGAACCCTTGGGATGAACTCAAGGGAGAGTCTGTAAACATTCCTGCCATGTCTCCACTCCCAGCTCTGACTGTCACAGACCCACGTGCACATCACACAGGCCTAGGGTTAGAAGTGGGGAACAGATGAACCACACCTCAGAGACAAGAGAAGGGATGCCCATGTTAAAAAGTCTCTCCAAGCTGACACCATTAGCTGGTCCCCAGGGTGACCTGGGTCTGGAACACACGACTAACCCCTACAGCGCCACGCGGGGCTCATCTAGATGTGAAAATCTCCCCAAGGTTGTTTGCCAGAATATCCGCAAACACTTTTCTCTACCTGGTGGAAGAGCCTGAGGTTCTCTGAACACCCCGGGAGTCTCCTCAGAGCAGCGCTGGGTGCTGATCTCTGCCTTGGTCCTGTGGCAGCCAGCCGCATGGCTCGTGCAGGCACTCAGATGCCCACGGAAGTGATGAAAGAGGACACAGCGGACACAGTCAGATAACACATCAGCTCAAACTGAAGACGGTGCGTCTCCTGTGGCCTCTGCTGAGAGCTACGCTGGACAGGGCCTGGGCTCTCTGCAAGGGAAGCATCCCCGATCGTGCAAAGCAGCACCATGGTGACGCTGACACAGCCAGCAGGGTCACTCGCTGACACACTGAGGGCTTCGAATGCCGTGGAGTATCTGACCCGGGACAGTGTCCTCCAAGGCAGTTAGTGTGACACAGAAGCCGGACAGCACAGCACACTTCACGAAGGAACACTTGCAGAAGTGAGAGGGCCACCTCCGTCTCTCACCACGGGCCAAGGACACGCGGATTGCACACCCAAGTCATTTACCCTTGGTAAGTCTAACAGAAAGGGTACAAACAGGACCTGGAAGACAGCCAAGGAAGGCTGGTGCTCTGCTTTCCTCCCCAGGGATGAGAGACTGAACCCGCAGCACTGTGTCCGAGCTGCACCCCAGCCCTCTTTTTTAATCTTTATTTTTTATTTTGAGGCAGTATCTCTCTAAGAAGGCACCCATGCTGGCCTCGAACTTGCCATCATCCTCCTTCCCCAGCCTCTTGAGTGCCTGGGATTCCAGGTATGAGCCACCCACTCTGCTGACAAAAGTGACTTCTACCCAACCTGACCATCGCTATTTCACTTATTTTTGGGGGGCTGGGGATTGAACTCATGGCCCACGAGCTACACACATGCTGCCCCTGGGCCTCAACCCAACCCTCTATCTTTTAATTGGATTGCTCTGAGCATTAATGTAAGGTGACCATCAGTGTGGTGAGTCGACCTACTGCTTCACAGGAGACCCCTCTTGATTTGGGTTTCGCTTTCCGTGGTTTCAGTTACCCACAGCCAAGCACGGCTCAGAAACAGACACAGGCAAGTCTTTCTCTCCAGACTTCATTTTGGATGTTCCTACTTCTGCCCTCCACTTCACTGACCTTTTCTTCTATGGTATCTGATGGGTCTTTCATGGCACCCCATGCCTCTTCAGTTCTGAGTTCCCTGTGATTCTGTTTTACAGATCTACTTTTCCCCTCATTATGTTCAGGGTTTTCTTTATATCCTTGAGTCTGTGGGATTTACAACACCTGTCTGAAGTTCCCTGTTTATGAACCGTTGCCGCTGACATTTCACCAACGGCCTCTCAGCCGGCTCCTCCTGGTTACGAGTCTTCTCCTCCTCTTTGTATGCCTAGTAAGTCTGATGGGTGCCAGAAATGGAGAATTGCACAGTGTTGGCTATGGGGTTTGTTGTGTTCTTCTAGAGAGAGCTAGATTCCTTCTCCTTGTCTGGAGTGTCTGTTTCTGGCACTCTGCGGCCACCTCACACTGCACCTACCTCCCCAAACCACTCCCCTCCTGCACTGCAGCAGCACCCTGCAGGGCTGCCAGCTGGTGGTTGTCCTTTCTCCCGGATCACAGAGATGTACAAGCTACTCCCAAATGTCCTAAAGCCCTGTTTCTTCTCTTCCTTCCTAACATGCTTCCAGCAGGAGAGCCACACCCAGAGCCACTCTCAGTCCAAATAGGAGACTGAGGCTCCGGACACAGAGAGGGAGAGCAGGACCTGGCCAGGAGCCCATGCTGCCTCGCACCCCAGCTTTGACCCCATCCCAGTTACCTGGCAGCAGAGCACCAGGTCTCCTCACCACGGAGTCCTCCAGGGAGCAAGGTGCAGGCCTCACCCACAGGGCCTCTCAAGCACGGCCGCCGTCTTTACTTCCTCTAAGCCTCTGTCCCACAAGCACCCCCGTGGGGCAGGCAGCGGGCCAGCTCAGCCGGTTCCGCGCCCTGAAGCACCACGTGGTCTCAGGCACCCAGGCAGCTGCCCGGCAAGGCCACAGCATGGCCAGACGGTGCTGCCCACAACGCCACAAGGCCACTCTGTGCCAGATTCCAAGTGAAGTCTCCTGCATCTCTGCAGTAGGTGGGAACCGAGCCTGCCAATCATCCAGATAAAGCCTCCCCTGTTTTCCTACAGAATCCATGAAAATCATTTTTGTTGTACTCAACCCCAGGAAGTTGGCTTTTCCTGTGAGTTTCTTTTAGAGGACTTCAGTACAGAACACAGTTTGCTCGATTTTCCTTGGGCAATTCACTGAAGACTCTCTCAGCTGAGAAAGCCATTTCTTAATTCTACCTGGGCCACGGGAGTCACATTCTGAGCAAATAATGTGTTAGTGTGGTTGGGCGGAAACCTCAGCAGGGCAGTGTCCTCCACACACGGTGGCTGGGGTCTCTCGAGAGTGGACCTTGAGCATGCTCATGCTTGCTCGCGCTCTCTCTCTCTCAGCTCTGCTTCCTTCCTGAACCCAGAAGGGACAGAGACCAAAGTTTGGAGCTCGGTGCCGGGGCAGGACAGCCGTCGGCCATTACCTGGTGGGATCCGGAAGGCAGACTCTTTACCAGACCCTCTGTGTCGGAGGAGGACTTCCGTGGAGCCTGCTTAACCGGAGACAGACTCTCTGATGTGTTGCAGCTGATGTAATGGCAATTTGGAGAACAAATGTAAAAAGAAAATTAAAAATTAAAATGAATGAAAACAAACACAGAACGGTGAGTGAGGCCAGACGCAGCGCAGATACGTGAACAGACAGCGGACAGTGGGCACCCGAGGGTCACCTGTCTTGAAGACGGTTTTCCACCTGACACTCGTTCTCTTAAGTGGTGGATCTATTGCAGAAATCAGCGTGGTGCCACCCCTTCAGCCCCGTTTCAAATGAAAACAGGGGGTTCTGATCACAACACAGCCTGGGCTGCTTTTTAAACCCTACTTTGGGCAAAGGTCCAAAGGAATGAGTTTATACCTTAATGCAATCTGCTTTTGCTATCGTCAAAAGCAAACGTCTTCTGAATGTATTTAAAAACTACATCCAGAGTGAGTCTTGGCTTTTCTTCCCCCATCCTCTGGTTCCCCATATTCTGTTTCACCACTAGTAACACAACCACACCAAAAGCAACAGAAAAAGACAAAGAGCAGACAAAGAGACCACCCAGGAAGTCATGAGGGTGGGAAGTGTGGGGTGCCACTCGGCAGGTGAACTCTCCCGGTGAGAGGGCTTCAGCAGCAAGGCTACCGAGAGAGGGGACGGGAGCTCCTGGAAGGGGTCATCAGCGGTCCCTAAGGGATGTGTCATCAGCACAGCTTAAGTCCTTTTTTTAAAAAATATTCATTCTTAAGTTTTAGGTGGACACAATACTTTACATTTATGTGGTGCTGAGGATCGAACCCAGTGCCTCGGGCATGCTAGGCGAGCGTGCTGCCACTGAGCCACAACCCAGCGCCGCAGCTTAAATCCTTTAGGGCAGTGTTGTGAAAACTTTGGAGTTCGGGGAGGAGCACATTTAAAGTGTCAGTGCTCAGACTGAAGCACACCACAGACACCGTGTCCATTGGGACGGGAGCCTGCCTGGCTGAGCCAAGGTCGTGTAACTGCTCTGAACTAAGAAGGCTCAGTGACCGATGATAAAACTCATGTGTGAAGAAAGAAAACAAAGACGCGCCCGTGCACACAAGCGTGCACACATACTCACAGACACACACACACACACGCGCGCGCGCATTTCCCATGAGAGCACACACAGCCACAGGAACCAACTTCATCTGGACGTTGTGCGCAGCTGCCTGACATACTTGTGGACAGACCTCGAGGGCTGCTGGTTAGCGGAGCAAGCTGGTTAGTGGCCACAGGGAGACGGCTGAACGGACACGGAACGTGAACAGCAACAGGCAGTGTGATTAGTTACCATGTGTCTACTGGAGAGGAGGAGCCCAGCCCTGCCACAGTCCCAAGCGTCTTCTACGTCAGCTCTCCTTAGGAGTGGGGGAGAGGCAGCTGACCAGCACACCAAGGGAGGGAGGCAGGGGAGGGAAAAAACCAGAGTGAGAAGAGCAGCACTCGTGATGCCATGCAGGGTCCTAAAGAACATCGCTCTGCCTTTATTAGCCCCAAAGCAAGAGCCGGCACGCCACCACCTGGATTAGTCCTGTGCTGAGACCCAACCCTCTGCCTGCTCAGGAAAACTCTTGCCATGCAAGCGAACCAAGCCAGCACCAGAGAAGCATTCCACGCGGGCCACGCCCGAACCGGAGCACTCAAGCCCGTCCGTCCACTCGCAGCACTCCTAAGCTCCACACCAGCAGTCCGCAGACGAGGATCCGCTGTCAACCAGCAAGAGAGCGCACGGCACGCAGTGCTCGGCCAGCCCTGCAGGACGTCCCGCACCTGCAGCACTGCGCCTGTGACACGGCCCCAGTCCCCACGGGAGCTCTATGTAGCTTATGTGGGTTAGCTCTCCAGCCCAGGCGGGAAAGGCAAGGTCCTGCAATCAGACACACCGTGCTCAAAGTGTCCTGTGAGAAGTCACAAACAGAAACTTTTTTTCCTTGCTGTTAGATTTTTTTTTTAAATATTTATTTTTTAGTTTTTAGGTGGACACGATATCCTTATTTTATTTTTATGTGGTGCTGAGAATCGAACCCAGTGCCTCACGCATGCCAGGCGAGTGCGCTACCACTGAGCCACATCGCCAGCCCTTGCTGGTAGATTTTATTGTCTTACGCCCCAAGTTTGGGGTGGGGAGGGAAATTACTAAAAGGAGGAGCCCCACATCATCACACCAGGCTAGGACCGTTAGGACTTCCTGACCAGGGTTTTGTATCGACCCAGTGAGAAAGCAGACTCTCGTTAGGTTAATGCTAAGAAATTAAACTCAGGTAGGGCAAGTGAGTGTGCAGCTTCAGAATCCCAAACGCAGAGTGGACCATCCCAAACAGTGCAGCCCACCCTGTCCAAAAGGCACCTGCAGAGCAGGGGCCAGCCTCCTGTCCACAGCCGGGAGAGGCACCGACTGGAGAAGGCCAGTTAGGGGCAGAGGCAACGCAGGTCACTCTTCACAAGCTCTCTCCACACACATGCAAACCCTGCCTTCGTCTCTCCACCTCCCGAGTCAGAGTCTCTTACCCAGTGTAATCCCGCTTAGAGTTCCTCCTTCGGTACAGGACGGCCAGGATCATGCTGACGAGCAGGGTGAGACCCACAACCACAGCAGTGACTATGCCCACCACCACCCAGACCGGGAACAGCGGCAGACTCTCTGGAGAGAGAAGACGACAGCGGTGAGGACTCTCTGCAGGGAGGAAGGCAGCTCCCTGCGCAGAAGGGCCCACGAGCCAGGCACCACCTTCCCTGTCCACTCAGTTGTCACCCAACCAGACACCAGTACCCAACTGAGGACACGAAAACGTTGGCTATAAAGAACCAACTACAGAACTGAGCACTTCTGATCCCCGGTCCTAAAACCAAAGCAAGACTGAGAGGTGCACTTTATCGTTCTACTCAAAGTGGACATGAATTTCCTGCTTATTCTCAAAAAAAAAAAAAAAGGGAAAAAATATTTGTACTGCTTTTAGAAATGTCAAATTTTTGTTCCTAGAAGACATCAAAACAGTATTGATTTTCTTCTTTCCCACTGTCCTCTACAACTAGCCACCATCAATTTAGGTTTCGTACAATCAACACTGAAAAGCCAATATCCCTAGGATCAGGTCCACAAGCTCCTGATGGGGGAATCAGTGGCACAGCCGGACAACGGGCGGTTCCCAGCAGCCAGGGGTGTGGGGTGGGCCACAGGTCCACAGAGACAGGCAGCACAGCTGTCTGGCTAAAGCCCTCCCTCCAAACACAACCGACAGGTCACTCTTGTTCCCAGTGGAGCCTGGGATAGAGGACGGCCACCACCATGGAGACGCTGAAGGGCCGAGTACCTTTCTCCACCACGTACAGCCTGATGTGCCCAGGCTGGACAACGATGTCCGGAGGGTTCTTGACGTCGCAGATGTAGGTGCCATTGTGAATGAACTGCATGTTTTCTATGTTGATGGACGCGTCTTTCTTGTCCAGGTCTCCAGCCCAGCTGATTCTGTCCTTAAACGGGGGGTAGTTGCCCAGGTACACTTGTCCTTGGGAGTAGTGGAAGAACTGCAATGGGAGCAAGAGCACAGTGAGCCACGCTCGGTGGCAGACGCCCTGGAGCCTGGACGGGCCGCGGTGAGGCTCGGCGGTAGTGCTGGCCTGGCACGCACGAGGCCCTGGTTTGATCCCCTTCACCACACATAAGACTCCACACCGAAAGAAATGCCACGCCCACAGCAGGTCTGGGACGCGGAACCCAAGCCAGAGGTGCCCGCCTCTGGAGGCTGAGCCCCAGCCCCCTCTCCAGCGTCCTCATGCCCTTCTCAGACCTGCTTTTAGCAGAGAGCTTTCTCAAAGACCTTCAGACCCAGCATCACGGGAAGGACACCGTCCCGGTGCTCAGATCTAAGCAAGCAGCTTGCTGGGGGCCTCTGCTCTCATTCCTCCTGGACAGGTGACGTGGTGCTGGGGACAGTGACTTGGCAGGTAACCCCACCCACCTCCTGACCTCATAACCACCTCTACTCTGTGAGTGCCCATGTCCTGGCCTGGCATCAACAGTGTCTCACCTGATGGCCCACCACCTCACAGGTGGCTGCCCTGCCCTCCAAGCTTGTCACCTGCTGTAAACTTCTGCCTACTCCTCTCATCTCGACCGAGGCTGCTGTCTGAACCCTGCTGGGCCTCCATTCCCCCTGCAAGTGTCAGGAGGGGGCTAGCAGGAGGCCTTGGGAAGTGAGGGCTCCACCCTCGGGACAGGCCCATGACATGATAAGGGTCCAACCAAAAGAGCATGTGCTCCTGCCCCTCGGCCCTCTGCCATAGAGCTGGACAGCAAGAAGGCCCTCGCCAGGTGCTGGGCCCTTGATCTTGGTCTGCCCAGCCTCCAGATCTACAGGAAATAAGCTTCTATTCCTTACACTTATCCAGCACAAAATGGGCTCAGACAGGAAAGACTCACTCGAGCCACCAGCCTTGGAGCGGTCCTTGATCCTTGCCTTCTTCTCAGGTGACTCCCACCCCGCTGCTGGATCTGCTGTCCCCTGTCCTGTCTCCACATTTCCATAGCAACACCTGAGTCATGCTCATGAGAGTGGCCTCTCAACTGGTCGACTCCAGTCTGAGTGGAGGCTGATCTACCTTCTAGGCTAACTGAGGGCTGGGGCTGGGGCTCAGTGGGAGAGCACTTGCCCTGCAGGTGTGAGATCCTGGGTTCAATCCACAGCACCACCTAAAAATAAATAAGTAAATAACTAAAGGTATGGTACCCATCTACAACTAAAAAAATTAAAAAAAAAAAATAAAATAAAATGGCTAAATGATCACCAACAAGCAGAAATAAAATAACTGTTAGTATTGCTATTTATCCAATATATACCCTGCATTTAAGCTGACCCAAATACTCATCAGAAACTGTGAAGGGTCTGAGGTTTTAACCTACTTGCAAACTAACAAATTTCCTGGTGGGACGTGGGAGGGCAGTTCCGGCAAAGACTTCATTCCATGAAGAAGACTCGGAGACGAGCCTTATTATTATTATGTAGGACGCAGCAGGAAGCTTTGATCTGCTCCCCTTGCCTCCAAGACCCCAGGGATGGCCCAGAGGGGCCTGGCCGGACGCTGCACATGCAGAGCCTGCATCACTGCCGAGGAACCCAAGACGGAGCCCAGATCTGTCTGTTGTCTGAGACAGGGTCTTGCTGCGGTCCAGGCTGGTCCTGAACTGGCCAAGTGACCCCCTCCCTAGCCTCCCCAGCGGCTGGGACTACAGGTGTGCCCCGCCACACCCAACCTCAAGTCCGAATCTTCAACAGTGGGCAGAAGGCAAGCCCAGCTCTCAGCCGAAGGACACAGCGTCTTCACTACACTGGGCAGTAGGCAAATGTGTCCTCCCTCCAGGGGGGAACAGCGTCGGTCTTCCAAAGCCAGTCACCTACCAAGAAACTCCAGAACAAGGCACCGTGCTCTGCTCCCAGCCACGCAGAAACAGGAGGAATGCGCGCCTCCTCGCCTGACACTCACTCCATGGCCACCCTGGAACTTCAGCGACCTGCCCAAGGTCACAGGCCCTCCCGATGGAATTCAACCTAGCTTCGATGCCAAGGCTCATGCTCTTCCATTACTGAATGCCTCTCAGGACTGGTCACGTCTTGCCTGCTCAAAGCCCTTCACTCTCTTCTTTGCCAGGAAATAAACAAACTCTCAACCCAGGAAACAAGCCCTTCCCGCAGGAAGTCTGCCTCCCTCCCCACAGCATCTCTGCCCTTGCCTGGCATTTCTGGGCCAGCAGTGGTAGCAGCTCTGCGATGCTGTCCACGGCCGCCTTCTGAGTGGGTTCTCTTGGCGAGTGTCCTGTATTGGACTGTGACCTTAGAAGACAGGGGACGAGATGTGCTTCTCTGCACTCCTTAGCACACAGCAGGAATCACGTTTGTGAACTGAATTGATGAAGACGACCTTGGTCAAACCAGTGAAAGACAGGAATAAAACAGTAAAAATTCACAAGAAAAACCAGGCCTCATTTTCAACCAGTATTTAAAAAGTTCAAGCTGTAGGTTGTAAGACAGGTCTATCTCCTCTCAAAACACCTGTTTTCACTGTATTCAGCTGGGGCATCTGGAGGGAAGGACGGCACAAGGCTGGAGCTCAGGAGGAGGGAAACAGAGCATGAAGGGATGAGGTGGGAAGGGAGCGGGCCAGAGCTGCACACAGACTGCTCCAGAGAGCACACGAGCCGAGGGGGAAGGAGAGGCAGGGAAGGGCAAGTGCGCGTCAGACGCGGGACCCAGGTCCACAGACCAGGAGAGCCAGGAGAGCTGTCCGTGACAGACGTAGGGACCCAGGTCCACGGACCAGGAGAGCCAGGAGAGCTGTCTGTGACAGACGCGGGGACCCAGGTCCACGGACCAGGAGAGCCAGGAGAGCCGTCCGTGACAGACGCGGGGACCCAGGTCCACGGACCAGGAGAGCTGTCTGTGACAGACGCGGGGACCCAGGTCCACAGACCAGGAGAGCCGTCCATGACAGACACGGGGACCCAGGTCCACAGACCAGGAAAGCCATCCGAGGTGTGCTGGGCCCTAACAAGGGCTACCTGCTCCCTGATTGAATGTGTCCTAGTATTTTAGAAATAAAGAAGATGTTGGAATTTGCCTTCCAATATGTGACAATTCTAGATGATGCTAAAATTTATTCCAGCCATGCTAAGAAAGCTACTGTTGATGCAGATGACGTGCAACTGGCAATCCAGTGTCGAGGTGACCAGTCTTTTACCTCTCCTCCCCCGAGAGATTTTTTATTAGATATTGCAAGGCAAAGAAATCAAACCCCTTTGCCATTGATCAAGCCATATTCGGGTCCTAGATTGCCTCCTGATAGATATTGCCTAACAGCTCCAAACTATAGGCTCAAGTCTTTACAAAAGAAAGCATCTACTTCTGCAGGAAGAATAACAGTACCACGGTTACGTGTTGGTTCAGTTACTAGCAGACCAAGTACTCCCACACTAGGCACACCAACCCCACAAACCATGTCTGTTTCAACTAAGGTAGGGACTCCAATGTCTCTAACAGGGCAAAGGTTTACAGTACAGATGCCTACTTCACAGTCCCCTGCTGTAAAAGCCTCAAGTCCTGCAACATCAGCAGTTCAGAATGTTCTGATTAATCCATCATTAATTGGGTCCAAAAACATTCTTATTACTACTAATATGGTATCCTCACAAAATACTGCCAATGAATCATCAAATGCATTGAAAAGAAAACGTGACGATGATGATGACGATAATGACTACGATAATTTGTAATCTGGCTTTGATGCATGCAACCTGTAAAACTTGGTCTTAAATCCATTGTACCGAAATTAAAGAAGCATACTGGATGTTTTCAAGTTGTGTGTTAGAAAACTTAAGTAGTATTTAATGAGTAAATAATAGTTCTTATTCTTAATTGCAATGTTGGATTTTCTTTAATAGGACCAGTAATGGTTTTTCATCAGCCTTTATGTGTAAAAAATAAAGTTGTTAATTGATTTGTTTGGCAAAAAAAAGAATCCTTTAATCAGTAACTGCATTCTGTAGTTAACTGTGAGTATAAACTGATGAGGTAAGAATGTGAACCAGAAACGTTCTTATTTGTGGGGGGGGACTGAGGATTGAATCCAGGGCTGCTCTACCACGGAGCTCTACTCCAGGCTTTATTATAGTTTGAGACAGGTCTTGCTAAGTTGCTGAGGCTGGATTTGAACTCGTGATCCTCCTGCTTCAGCCTCCCAAGCTGCTGGGATGACAGGTGTGCAGCACCTCACCGGCTCCAGCAATGCTCTTAACATTACGCCTTGGATTATGCAGATCTTCAACCCACACAACAGGGATAATTCCAGCGCTGGGGTACTGCTCGGTGGTTCCTTCCCCTTTCTCCTCCTCTGTCCCCCTCTCCTCTCTTTTGTAGCACTGTGTGTTGAACTCAGGAGCATTCAACCACTACGCTGCATGCCCAGCCCTTTTTATTTTATTTTGAGATAGGTCTCTCCAAACTGCTGTGGCTGGCCTTGAACTCGTGATCCTCCTGTGCAGCTCCTGAGTGGCAGGATGGCCGTGTGGCTGGCCTGCTTTATTGTCTGTGAACTGAACAACTCCCTGTTCAGAGGATAGCAGAGGGAAGGCCTCACAAGTTGGCTGCAGTCTGTTGAGAGAACACATGCATGGAGTCTGCCCTCCTGCGATGCTGATGGCTGTGCCCCTCGCCCTGTCTAGAGCAGCTGAATGACTCCATCCCTGGTCTTGAGACCTCTACATGGAGTCTGCTCTCACCCTTATAGCTACCTGAGGGGAGGCTCCTTGCAGACACCTCTAGGCCATACCTTCTGCACTCTGTCCCACCCAAAAGCACACCCACATGGCCCGGTGAGGAAGCTGAATGAATCTGACACCCTGACTCTACCTCACCCTTCCCCGCCTCCCACACAGGCTACTCAGAGGTCCTCCTCTTCTAAGTCCTGGAATCTGCAAAACAGGTTTAGGTCCCAGTGCAGGGCAACAGCTTTCACCTGGGGGACAGAGGTCATAGCTTTGGCAATACCACATGCAAAAATTAAGCCCATTGGCCAGACAGAATGGTGTTTTTCTTCCACTCGCTAGGACTATCTTGTATGTACTTGAAGTTTCCCCAGAGGAGACCCTGAGCAGCTCATGGTCTATAGACAAGGGACTGGCAATCCTCTGTCCCTTCAGCAATGGCAGAGGGCACATTCTCAACACCAGGAAGTTAAGTCCCGAAACCACGGCCTTAGGCAACCCCCATAGCCAGCAGGCGGTCACTGCTGCCGGCTTTTCCATCCGAGCTCCAGGGGGAGATGCAGGCACTTCTTGCTACGTCAGGGCACGGCTGGGGGCACTGCCTGGTGAGATGGACCAGATCTTCCCTCTTCCTCTTCTCTGGAGCCCTAGGGCCATGGAGAGCTCCACCTTGTGATGGCACCCCAGCTCCTCTCACTCCATTGACGCAGGAACACGGGTCACATTCCCAGCACGTGGACTTTGCGATGTTCAAACCACGGTGCTTCTCTGGGTGTTCTTACTTAAGGATGGACGACGGACTCTGTCCCTGCAAAGTGCTCACAACCTAAAATGTGTGGCACTGCTAAAGTAGGGGCGAAGTTCCAAGGACATGTGACAGGACAACAGGAACACAACAAGGTGCATGGGGGTGGTGCCTCGAGGGTCCGCTCCCCAGGTCCTCCTGACGACCTTCCTCCTCCAGCGCCCCATGTCGGGGCATCACCTCCACTTTACAGACCTCCGGCCCAGGTCTAATAAGCACCCACCCTGCACCCGTCCAATTTCTAACTAACCCCCCACCCAGGCCCTGCCTGTTCCACCCTCAGCTGCCTCTCCAGGCGTCCACAGGTGAGAGGAAAGCTGTGCTGGGACCTTTCCTGAAGACCCTACACGCTTGTCGCACGGTCAGCCTGTGGGCTCAGGAGGAGGTGGGAGGGGAGCAAGGCGAACGCCTAAAACAGCCGAAATGGAAACCGGGCAAGTGGGCTTCAGGCACACCACAACCAGGGACCGCAGTCAGCTCAGGCCACCCTGCAGGGAAGAGGACTTCACAACAGGGCTTGACCGTGGAGGGGCGTGGGAAGTGGGCACCAGGAGCAGGACAGATGCAGCTCATGTTCTCCTGGAGTACAGCCTGCAGCCTACAGCAGACCAAGACCACACTCATCCTGGAAAAGGACCGTCGAAGAATGGACTGTCCTCACAGGACAGCAGGACAGAAGCCTGCAGCAGGCCTGGTGGGGCAGAGGGCACTCCTACCGACACTGTGGTGTCAGCCCCCTCGGGCTGGAAGCTCCAGGAGACGGACGTCAACCCGCCGGTCACGTTAGTGGACTTGAACTTGCACGGCAGCTTCCCTTGCGTCCCGTTTGCCACAAAGATTTCTTTGGGTGTGTACACCTCCAAGGCCGACACACCAGCTGTCCCTGGAGAGAAGGAAAGCACAGGAGTGAGGCTTGGTGTGACTACCACGCGCACACTCACCAGATGACACAGAAGACACAAGGAGGTTGGCAGACACAGGAACTCACTGCTGTCACACCACACTGCAGAGCAGGGTGGTGCGCGCCCCTGCGCCCAGCGACTCAGGAGGCCGGGGCAGGGCAAGCAAGCTCCACATACCCATGGAACCTGTCTCAAAACTAAAACTAAAAAAGTAAAACAGGGGCTGGAATGTAGCTCAGTGGCAAAGCGTCTGCCTTGCATTTGCAAAACCCTGGGTTTGACCACCAGTTCCAAAAAAAAAAAAAAGAATCCCACCAAAAAAATAAGAAAAGCAAAACAGAACTATACGTTTGCTGGCAGGATATTCTAAAGATTTCCTACAGAGTAACTGCTGATGGTCTTAAGTTTTTAAAGGTTTTTTTTTTTTTTTTGGTTTTTTGGTACTCTCTTTTTTAAATTTTTTGACAGCAGAATGCTTTACAATTCCTATTACACATATAGAGCACAATTTTTCATCTCTGTGTAAGTTTTATCAGTTTTACTAAATCTAACATGTATGTTTTCAGAACTAACAGACATTTTTTTTTTTTGCATCTACAGAAAGCTTTTATTTGTTCAAAGTAACCAGTGCTACTGATGCAAAACAAAAAATAAAACCCAACAACTCCCCAATACTACTTTCAAAACCAACATATCAAACTTGATTTTCATTAGAATGTAGTTATTTTTTCACACTAGTAAATCAAAAACCAAGACCCAGATTTTATATATATATATATATAAATATATATAAAAAACAATGCAAATAGTTATTGAGCTTCATCTTCTGGACAAGAATGCCAAGTTAGTCTCTCTTCATAAAAAGCAATTACAATTTGAGGACACTTCATATTTGCTTCTTTTGCCAGCACCAAGTCTGCCTCATCTGAATCTTTCCATTTCATAAGAAACATCAATTCTCCACTGCTGTCTGTGGCACCAATTATTCGTTCAGGATCAAGACCTCTGGCAAAGCCTCTTGGTTTGTCAGCAGCATCTCTTTTCTTCTTTGACTTGCTATCATCAGATTCACTGTCAGATAAAGATTTTCTTTTGGTACCATCTTTTTCTTTACCAGCTTTTTGAGAATTAAGAAATGCTTCAATTAACTCTAGACAATCTAAATTTTCTTCAGGTTCCCAAGTATTGTCAGCATCTGTAAATCCTTTCCACTTCAGAAAGTATTCCACCTTTCCATTTACTACACGTCGGTCTAGGACTTTTTCTACCACAAATTCTTCAGGCTCTGCCTCTTCAACTTTTTTACTCTTTCCATTCTGTTTCTTTCCCATTTTTTGCTTTGTACGCTTATGATTATTATTAATGCAATGTGTTATAATTAACACATCTAAATAGACATGTTCTTACACTTTTGCACAGCCAATGTAGTCTTATTGGAGGCCATTTTTTAAAATTGCAGACTTGAAGAGCTACACTCCGATGCTCCAGGTCGCGGATCTGCAGCGTCTCCAGCCCTGCGCGCCTCAAGCTCGAGTCACATCAGACGGGGACTAACAGACATTTTAAAAGCAGTTTTAGGTTTACAGATTAAATGGGAAGTGGAGAATTCTCGCAATGACCCCCCCGGCTCCCGTTAGTCACATTGTTCTCGGCTGGTCAGCAAGCCCATCACAGCACTGCTGACTAAGGCCCACAGCTCACGTGAGGGCCACTCTGTGTGTACTCTTTGGAGACGATGACATGTTTCCACTGTCACAGTGCCACACAGAGCATCTCTACAGCTGGGCCCTGGTTCACTGCCCCCAAGTCCCTGGCGACCTTTCTCGGCCTGTTTCTACCTTTGCCAGACGCTCTACAGCTGGCACCAGCGTGTAGCCTTCTCAGACAGCCCCTCCCAGCTGGCCGAGTTCACTTCCACTCCCGCGTGGCCTCTGTGGCATGGTGTCCCTGGCGCATGGAGTTCCAGAATTCTCCTTCACCCACTGAGAGCCGGCAGCTGCCCCCGTGGCCTGTCTGTGGCAAAGTGAGGCACATCCTACTCCTCTAAGCAGCTCTCAGATTTGCACTGTGACCCCAGGAACTTTCTTCACCTACATTTAAAGCACTGGACTATATATGTTTTTAAGCTAAGAATTTTAGGGCCATATATGTTTCTTTCTAACCTTCACTTAGTTTGAGTCTGTTTTTTTGAGTGAAGATTCCCATTTTAGCAGCAATCCATAATAGTTCCTGCAGTGGCCTCTGATTCCAGATCCTGAGAACAGAGCTGTGTTCATGCAGCCAGCGATGGGTGTTTTCGCAGCCATGTCCTGGGCTCAGGCTAGTGGAAAAGCTTCAGTGGGCAAAACACATGCTGGCGCACTGAGCTCGGCTGCTCCTTGAGGCTCTTTAAAATTCTTGGCTTAAACTCACCCAGCCCTTCAAAATAAGATATTTTAAAAGAAGCTGTTGGTAGTGAATATGTGCAATGTTCTGATGATTCTTAAAATGTAACAGGCAGGAAAGGAGCGGTGCTGTCGCCAGGACTGATGGTCAGTTTCAGAATCTTACTGAGGCCTTAAGGATGATTCTGGCCAGGGAGAAGAGGGCACTCCCCCATTCCTCCCAACCATCTTCCAAATATTTATTCTCAGGACACAATGGGCACTTTTGGCTATTCTTTTAAATAAACTGATAGCCACACTACATCAAGCAGATTTTTTTCTGCTAAAAGAGGGTGGATTATTATTATAGGGAACAATAGATTATTATTTGTGGTCCAAACCTCAAAACAAGCCCTTCTGTCAGACCAGAAGCAAACAAAAGAAGTCCCTTGCTATTGTGGGTAGGCAGAAAAGCAGCCCCGGGCACTGGAGTTCAGAACCAAGCAGGAAGCCGGGAGAGCCGGTTCACCAGTTCATGCAGGAAGGGGCTAGTTAGCAGCCCTGACTCACTCTGCCCTGTTGACTAGTTGTCTCCACAGAGAGCCCTGCAAGGAAAGCCAGGCTCTAAAGTCCACAAACAAGTTTCCTAGGGATTCTTGAGCCAGATCAAGGCCTGGCTGCAGAGCTGTGGGCTCGAGGCCAAGCAGCCACGTTTACAGTTAATGATTTTGAGCAGAAAGACTATCCAATATGCCTAACCGGCTTTAGGCACTCTAGGCTTGACCTAGTTGCACCAAAGCTAGTTACCATTTGAACCACCCCATCACTCTGGCTAATGGGAACACGCAGCTCTTGGAGCCAGGACTGAGTCCAAATCTAGACGATCGGCTAGTTCCAGAAAGAGGAAGGGACTCCGACCAGTGAGCCCACTTCTCTCATCCCCTGCTGACATCCTCCTCCCCAGGGCGCTCTGGCTGCCCTGGCCATTAGCCCTGGCCATTAGTCAGCTCCTGGTTTCCGTGTTTACCTTCCCTTTTCTGGTGATCTGGCTAAGACTGGGCCTACCCCAGCCGGTCACCCCAATGGCCACACCTAACCCGGGTTTTTCTGGCTCGGCATTGCTGACAACCGGGCCAGACGGTGCTGTGTTGTAGGGGAGTGTGTGGAGCACAGTCAAGTGTCGGGACTGTGACGGTAGCCTTTCTTCTGCCCCAGGCTGTGGCAGCCGCAGCTGGGTCCCGGTGCTCCAGACTCTGTGTCAGGGCCTGCATCCTCGCCACTCCTCACAGTCAGGCTTCCCAGTGTCCCTGACACCTGGTTAAAGCTAAAGCCCACCGTCCCCCAGCCACCCCAGCATCGGCACACGCTCCCCAAGTCCTCCTCCTGTGTGCACTGCTTCCCTGCCCAGCCTCCAAAGCACACAGCCACAGGGCGGGCTTCACCCTCCACAGGCAGTCGCTGACCTCCAGGAGACCCTGCCTTTCTCACCTGGCGTGGGGCAACCTGCAACTCCTGCATACCAAGTGTGCGTCGGCCACTCCCAACAGCCCTGCCTCTCATGAAGGCTCCTAACGCGCCCAGCAGTCCAACCACATGTCCCATCCACCCATCACTGCAGCCAGACCAGGGACAGTGCCTGGATCTAGCTGGCCAGACTCAGCTGCCCACCAGCCGAATAAGCAAGCCAAGGATGTAAAAAGGAAAAGCGAATTTCATGCAGCTTGATCGAACCAGGAGAAGCAGCTAAATTTCTCTGCCTGTCCCTCAGATTCGGTTCTGTCTCACTGCAACAAAAGCCAGTGACACCCACATGGAGACTCGCCAGGCTGTGCCGGCCAGAGAACATCAAGTTGAGCTTCCCTGGCAGCAGGCAGGCCAGAGGGTACTTTTCCCGTTTTCATTCTCGGCATGAGGCAATCTGGGATGCAGAAAAGCCCTTCCCAGCCCACTTTCCTCCACATCTCCACCTCTACCAGCTTGTCCTTCTTGCTACTGACTGACTTCCTGTTTCCCTGAGAAACCCGAACACCGGGAAGGGAACTTCTCACACCCCCAAGCCACCTCTGCCCCCACAGCATCTGCCCACAGGTCCTGCCTTCCCGCCACGGGCAAGCGGGTGGTCTCTGCGGAGCCACCTGCAGCTCCTCTGCCCTGCCACCTGAGGACGCCGATCCGGCAATTCTCCCTCTTGCCCCTGACCTTTCCTTTGGCTGTGAAGTCACCACTGCCAGCCATTTAAGTGCCACATTCACAGTCAATCCCAGTTTTAAGGGCAAAGCTCAACCCTGCAGCTGTGGCCCTTTCGTCCTCTATTTACAAATCTAAAAAGAGCTGTGTGCCCTGCTCACCGTGTCCAGTCTCCCATTTTCTCCTGAACGTGGATATTCAGCCTCCACCTCCACGACCACACTGGCGACTACACTGGCGCTGTCCTTCTCAGGGGCTGCCGCGACCTCCAGGTGGTTAGATCAGGGTTCCTTCTCAGCTCGTCTTACAGACCTACTTCTGGATCCCGCTCCCCCCTGATTCCATTCCTCTCCTATTGCCGCTCCTTCCCTGCTCTCCCTGACCTCCTCTGTCCCCGTCATTCCCTGAGCACTAGTCACACTCCTCTGCTCGTTCACCCAGGCTCAGACTCCGAGCAGCTCCACATGCCAAGCACACCCTTCGCCACGTACCAGCGTCACTTGGCTGAACTGACGCTGCCTCAAACTCAGCTCCTGAGTCCCGCCCCTCAATGTACCTTCCCACCGTCCTCTCCCTCAGCACATGGCAACCAGCCTTCCGGGGGCTGGGACCCTTCCCTGACTCCTCCTGCTCACCACGGCCTCCAAAGCTGTGGGCAAAACAGATGATCTCTACTGAGACCCGTGCCTAGAGCACGAGGCTCCCTGCCCCACCCAGTCGTGGTCTTGCTCGTGGACTGCTGCAGGGCCTTACCCACTGGGCACGCTGGTGTCTTACCCACTGGGCACGGTGGTCCACAGGGCCAGAGGAATGATGAGAGAGTCACAAGTTAGATCCTGTCTCTGCTCAAGCTTCCCACGGCTCCCATATGGGGATGGGCTCAGTCCTTGCATTCTGCGGCCAAGTCTCGCAGACCTCTCAGACCTCGTCTCCCACCATCCTACTCGGGCTCCAGCAACCACCTTGGTCACCTTGTGATGAAGGCGACCACTGACTAAGGTCCCTCAGGACAGAGGGTGCTGTGGACGGGGAGACTGGGAGCCCTGGGACACTGTGACACTATGGGGGACAAGGAAGAGAATGCCTCAGGTAGGGAGGGTTCCGTGGGAACGCTTGCTTCAAGGTGCACGTGGTTTCCATGCACCTCACGGTCTGCAGAATCCAAACGCCTTTTCTTCTCTCCTTGTGGTGCTCAGGATTGAACCCAGGGCCTCGTGCGTGCTAGCAAGCACTTCACCACCATGCTGTACCCCCAGCCTGGAATCCAAAGGACTTTGGCCAAGCTCACTGCAGCAGTCCCTGACCAAGTGCATGTGACCATGAACAGCATCTGTTAGAGATGCTCTCCTGTGTGGGAAAGAGAAACTGCACACAGGTTTCCCCCTCAGCCTGCATTCCATGCAGCGCAAGCAAGGGACGATGTCACTGGTTTCCTAAACAATGGGGAATGGTGCACTTTGTCCAGCCCACCCCCACCTTCTTAAGTGACTGAGAGTATTATGGAAACACATAGTGAAAGTATTGTGGATTCAGGCAGCTCCCCTCAGAGCCATAAAAGGGAGGTTTTACGGGCTCATTAAAATGGTGAAAATGCAAACATAAAGAACACTGAGATATACAGAAAGTACTGTTCTAATCTACATTCCATGTCACTGAAGACTGGCATCCCAGTCTGAATAAGACATAGAACAGATTCTTTTCAAGCCTAGGATTTGCAATTATGGCACAGTGGCCAAGAAGGATGTGACATGATTCCAGCCTTGGCCCAGAACCTCACAGAGAGAAGAAGCAAGCTTCCTGCTGACTTCTGGGAAAACCAGCAGCCTAGGGAATGAAGTGAAATGAGAATTGACAGCCAGCTCCAGGTCCTCCTTACACATAAGCCCCCGTACGTAGGAGCCCCTGCGTGGTGACGTGGGGGGCCTGCTTTCTCCCTGGGCCTTCTCCCAGGAGCAGAAGTCTGCTGAGTCATGCCA